GCTGATGACTCTCATCTTGTTTCTTTTCTTTTGCCTCTAACAACTGTTGTAATTTCTCTTCTCGTTCTTCTTCTTTCTTTTGCTGTTCTTGTACTGCAGCCATCAAGTCTGCTATCCTGTAGTTTGATTTGCCGCTTCTCGTTTCCATTTTTTTTTGTCCCACTCTCCGACACCAATTTGTTACGTCTCCGTTCGTTAATTAACTTTCCGTAACTTCGTTCCTATGAAACTTGAGCGACACAAGTCCTTACTTAATAAAACTGGTTTATTCTTTCCGAATATAACTTTACGATACACTTAATTTCAACAATCGTGCTAAAACAAACGCTATAACAACGAAAGTGCTCAATAATACTCTCTGACTGCAGATCAATTATTCACTGTCTACACACACATTATTGTCCCGTCACGTTGTCACCCTCTTTTATATACCAGACTACCCTATATCCAGTAAATGCTAGAGCATTCGCCAAGGTACAGGATAGTTCTAGAAACGTGGCGTGACACTAGTCGTGTGACTTCGCTGAAGCAACAGTATATAAGCCTGGCAGAGAAAGCCTTCGGGATGAATGAAGAGAGTTCCGGGTAATTTACGATTCTTTTACGAGCTAGTGTGTGTTTTCGAGATTGTGAATCTCTGTGGTTTATAGTGTGTATTATAAAAGTTGTTAAGTTTAAAATGACGAAAAACATATTGTCTGTGGAATTACTGTGTACTAAAAGTTTGTATCGAAAGAGAATAAAGTAGTTTAATTAAGAAAGGACTTGTATTGCCGAAGTTCCTCGGAAAGAATTTCTACCGGAAATTAACAAACAAGCAGATACCTAACAGCATGTTAAAAATATAAGATGCAAAAAAAATCAAAAGGAATAAGAAAAAACATAATTTTTTTTTTTTTGTACTACAAAGCTACACAATGGGCTCTCTGTGCTGTGCCTACTACGGTATCAAATTGTGGTTTTTAGCATTATAAGCATTCAGCCTTACCACTGGAGGGCGAGATGATACAATGAAAATAATACTGGAATTAATTACTTTCATACAGAACTTTGGAATATAGAAACTAAAGGACAAGATGTAACGTTCCTAATGAATAACAGAATATAGGAAATACATAGAGACGGTTAATAGAAAATATAACAAGACAAAATGTAACAAGGTTTATAAAGAAATCCAAAAAAGATGGGGTAGAAACGACTTATTGAAAATGGTTATCATTACAGAGAAGGGATCAGATAATCAGCGCAAGGTTTAGATGTGGAAATAAAATAAAAGTAAACAAATATTGGCTAAAATAAGATAAACTATTATGCCTGTTTAGAGAAAAGGAAACCATACAATACTTAATATTAAAATGTAAAGGTGGTTGATAGTTAGATGTAAACTGGGAATAAGGGTAATTCAGGATAAGATACAGAGTATTTAAAAGACAACAAACCGCAGTGCTTTCTGCAAGGATAGGAACTAATGGTTTTTGTTTATTAAGAAGCATTGGCTATACTGTAAATATATTAACTCTTTTTGTGAATGTATAGTTGATAAATTATAGATATTTGTGTTTCATGATGAAATAGGTTAAAGAAACATTAATGTTATTGTATTTATTTACACATAATTGATATTACTCTTAGACCCTGGAAGGTAAGGAAAATAAAATTATTATTATTACATTTACTTTTCAAAGCATTTCTATCATTAAAGCAGTAAAATGAGACTTAAAAGATTAAGTAAACTTAACATTAACCTCACAATTTAGCTTTCTATTTTTGTCTAGTTAACTTATGAAAAATTAGTGCATTATAAGCACGTCTTTCTTTTTTACAAATGTGTGGAGTTTTCGTGCCCATAATATCTATCATTAAATTGATTTTTTTTCTGTGGAATTTCACACAAAGCTACTGGAGAGCTATCTACTCTAGCCCTCCTTAATTTTGATGAGATACAAGGAAGACAGCTAATCAACACCACCCATTACCAATTATTTTATCAACAAATACAGGGATTTACTGTCACATTATAATGTCCCCCATGACTGAAAGGGCAAGCATGTTCAGTGATGAGAATGAAACCTGCAACCCACAAGTTGTAAGTCAAGGCTTCTAAAAAAAGGTAAAAGCATTCAATGATACAAGTATTCTACCTTTATACTCTAAACAACAGAACGTTAAACATTTTATGAATAAAATTACACTTGTTTCTAGATAGTTAACATATTTTACCTGGAGATAATGGTCATTTCATTAACATGTGTAAAGTATACTGCAGTTTCTACTAATTATTCTAAAAACATGAAAATAAAATAAATATACTTTGAAAGCACTGTTAATGAAGCTAATTATTACCATGGAAAACAAACAAACATCTAGTGTTTACTTTGTCAACATGAAGACAAGGGGAAGGTATTTCATGTGTCAACAGTTGAAGTACTTGCTTCCTAAACATGTAAAAGTTTATTCACTGTAGACTTATAACAATGACCATAGGCAATTATTTTATTTCACCAAATGTGCACAGGGTTGATCCAATGGACTGAACTATTATTGTAGAAGAAGTGTTGACTAAAATTGCAAATTTAACACATGCATCTATTTGAAATGTTACAAGCTTTTAGTAATACAAGTTTATTATATAGAAAAATCAAATGTGTTACAAAAGTATTTATATTAAAGATATGTTTGTGAATTGTTAATATATTTGACTCACACTCTGACAAATAAGAATGCAAAGTGTTGTTTATGCGAAGAAGATGAAGTTTGTCCATCCTATTGTTTGCATATTGTATTTGTATAGCCTCTAGGACATCTTTAATTCATATCCACAGTTTTTTCAGTATCCCTGTATATCATGTCTGGTATTTACTCTCCTCTACAATGAACTGTTGTTAAATCAGAAAAGTAGGATAGAATGGATACTTGACAACTCTGACATCAAATGCATAATATCACATTAAATGGCACTCTGTAAAAGATCATGGCATGCACACTTTGATCCCTATCTGTACACATAGGGTTAATAACTTTAGAAAGGGATCACAATTATGTATATAAGTATAATTAAAAACTCAACAGCATTAAATACACACATAGTTATTTAAAGGATGCATACATTTCAGCAGAATGTGCAGCCATTCGTCAACTGTAAATAGTTTAACCAAACTTATGTTATCCCGGATGCTTTATAACAACGCTAGATGATAATATTAAATAAAATCACTGTTAATAATGTTTACTCTTAAATTATACTTAAGAGTAAATAAAAGCTTAAAAGTAGAAAAAATAGGCAAGTTACACCATTTCAAATATTATATAAAGGTGATTATAAAGAAAACTTTTATAAAGTACAGGTGTTTTTATGATATCCTGTATACCTTAATTGCTTTTCTGGTAAACTTGACTTTATGAACATTCCCCAAGAAGATGCCACAAATCCTTCACATCAATCTCTCTGTTAAAAAACTATTACCAGGAGAAGAAGGAAACATCAGTAGGTGTTTATTTAGAAAGTCCTAGTCATGCAATAAAATATACACATTTTATTGGTTCCTAAATCTTTATAACATTTTACATGCAATAACAAAACATATATCTTAATAAAGGGATGTAAATTAAATATATAATTACATACATAAACAGCAGTTCACTTAAACTTCCTATACCAAATACTTGCACTGCTACTTTCATTTTACACTCCCACTGGTCAATTCTTCTACAGCACAACAGTTTCTGATAACGTCCAGGTAATATTTGTCATTTCTAAGGTAGTGGTGAATGAACTATTAAAGAAATTCACACAGTTTATTTAACAAAATAATGATAAGTTTATTACTTCTCTATTTTAGACCATCTTTTTTGTACTTATTTCTCAATAAATGCATTTACTGGATAATGGTCTTTATGTAGCTGAAGGTGATTTTCCAGTTCTTCAATCTGCTCCTGTAAGTTGGCTGGCATTTCATCATACACGTCTGTCAACATATCTCTAATAGGAGGTTTTTTTCTTTTCTCTGCTCTAGCAAATACCTGCATCACCTGTAATTACATATTGCATATCAAACCTTTATACAGATAATATACCAAACATTAATATACACACATCAAACATTAAATGTTAAATACTAAACATTAAAATACATACATCACACATTATATGTTACATACTAAACATTAAAATATATACATACAAACAACATATGTTACATACTAAACACTAAAATACATACATCAAACATTACATGTTACATACTAAACACTAAAATACATACATCAAACATTATGTTACATACTAAACACTAAAATACATACATCAAAACATTATATGTTACATACTAAACACTAAAATACATACATCAAAACATTATATGTTGAATACTAAACATAAGAAACTATATACCAAATATTACATGTTACGAACCAAACATTAGAAACTATATATCAAATATTACATGTTACGAACAAAACATTAGAAACTATATAACAAGTATTACATGTTGCATACCAAACATTAGAAACTATATACCAAATATTACATGTTACGAACCAAACATAATATGTTGCATTACATCAGAATCCATCAATGGGTTAGTTCCCATATTTCAAGGCTCCTAACTGGTGACAAAAAGTTTGCTTCTCATATGATTTAGTATAACCCAGTAATTATTCTTTAAAACATAAAAAAGTTTAAAAGATTAAAAAAAACACTAAAAACAACAACTATGGATCACAAATTATAATTTACAAAAGTGACAGAGTTACTCCAGATTTTCATTTTTTGCAATGTAATGTGTAACATCTTCATCTAATGAAACTATTGAATATTTTTAAAATTCTGACATGAGATACAATAATTATATGATTAATATTTGTCTGTTATTAATAGCTTTCAAGACTGCAGTTACCTACTTTTTTGTTCCTTCCTTCCAATCTGTCTCTTTCTCATCATTCATGGTTTATCATATATTTTATTTGTAATAGCTATTTTTTGTTAATTCAAAGAGATATCCTACATAACTGCCTTTGAGTTTTTAATTCACATCACGATGCTTTGCTATATAATAAAGTTTATAAAATAAACGAAAAATAACAGCTAAAAAACATAAATTGTGATTCACAAAAGTGAAAACTACTCAGGATTTTCTTTAATGCAATGTTATGTGTGTAAAGACTTTATGTATATGTTGGCTGAGATTCTTCTACAGTAGGTGTTTGCGAGTTGTTGGAGATAAATTCGAACAATCAATGGATAGCACACAATCCACTTGTTTTAAAATAATATATATATATATATATTCAAAACAACTCAAATGTATGTAAAAAAATTCTTTACACTATAGGATATCGCAGTTGTATCTAAAACTCTAAATAATTCTCTTTTATTATCAAAAGTCCAATCAGGCTGACTCAATTACTTTAGAATCCAACAAGATGAACTATTTTGCTCTTTTTATTCTCTATGAATACTGTACAATCTGCTAGAGATACACTTATGTTACTCCGGTGGTTACCACAGTCGTATCTCAAACTTTAAATAATTGTCTCTTTTTCGTCAAAGTCCACACAGACGGGTTCAATTACTTTAGAACACTCTTTGACAAAACAAATTATTCTCCTTATCTCTATTAAACTGTGAAACTCCCGTTAAAATATTACCCATTATGGCTAATTGTATACTGGCTAACTTTACGTTTTCTAACTGAAATTTTACTTTCACTTCTTTTCTACTTGACTTGCACTCACTTGGTCACATCTATTTATACACTGTTCACTGAGACCTTGAACTTTCTATAAACTACGCAACACTATAATGGAACAAAACTCATTTACGGTAACAAGAAAAATACTGAAGATCTGAGTAACTTGGTGTTAATAATACTACAACAATTGCACCATACACACACAAAATGTACGACTCTTACTGAGTTATGCAACCAAACTTGTCATAACTATCCCCTTTAAAATAGTTACTTTTAACTTTCTTGTTAAGAAAAGTAAATAATCATTAAATATTAAATCACCAAATTAACTAAACAGTCTTGTATATCCAATATCGTGTAACATCTTACTGTGATTATCATGAGATACAGTAATTATACAATTAACATTTATCTGTTATTAACAGTTTGGAAGACTGCAGTCACCTGCTTTTTTGTTTCTTCCTTCCAATTTTTCTCTTTCTCATCATCCCACCATCCATGGTTCATCATGTATTGTCTCAATCGTGAGATTGGATGATCTTTCTGATGCCAGAATCTTACTTCATCTACAGAACGGTAAGCTGTGCTATCATCAGAAGTACTGTGATGTCCAATTCTGTAGGAATACAAGTTAAACTTTTTTATACTAATAGATATAATGAAAGCTGTTTCTATTTACTTAACATTTATAAAAGTATCTTACTTAAAACATAATTGATGAGAGACCCATAAAAATATGTATTTCAACAAATTATCCCTATTCTATGTTATGGCTTGCTATCTAAATATACTTACAAAATTCAGGATTGATAAGAAACCCAAATAAATCTTCTGTAAGAAATCTTTGTAATAATCTCTGTAGATACTTTTTGATATTTAACGGAAGCTTAGAGAATCTTTTTCACATTTCTCATTTTTCTAGCATCAGTTCAAATAGCTGTAAGTCACAGTAAAAGCTCGGGCAAGACAGTCACTTTGATAAGTCACTAAGAAGTTTACCTAATTTCTGTTACTTTCAATGACAATGAATTTTTCTGTGAAAATGGAAGTTTTTTTTTCCATTCATTCATATTCTAAGCACAGAAAAGTTCTTATGATTTATACTGGCACTGTTACAGTTGTGTTTTATCAAATATATAACTTAAATTACTAGATTCTTTTACTCAGTTTCTCAATTCTGAGTTGTATAAATGGCATTTCAAGTGGTAAAGATAACTCACAAAATATTATTTGGTTTGTTTGTTTTGAATTTTACGAAAAGGTACACGAGGGCTATCTGCGCTAGCCGTCACTAATTTAGCAGTGTAAGACTAGAGGGAAGGCAGCTAGTCATCATCACCCACTGCCAACTCTTGGGCTGCTCTTTTACCAACAAATAGTGAAATTGACCATCACATTATAATGCCCCCATGGCTGAAAGGATGAGCATGTTTGGTGTGATGGGGATTCGAACCCGCGACCCTCAAATTGTGAGTCGAGCACCGAGCCTTATTCAGTTTGACCAGGACACAGTGTTTAGAAAGTGCAATGGAAAAAAGTAGAATATTTTGAGCCCAAGTCTGTGTAGCAAAGATGCACAGCATGCTAAAAGAATCGAAGGGAGGCTTCTCCATGAAAATTAGAAATTATGAGCTCTCTGCTGCATTCTGTTATCTTTTTTTTTTCATATATTTGGCAGATATGATGCCCTTAAATTTTAAAGTAAATTAGTTACATTTGTTATACAATGCTCCTATGTATGGTAATTCCATGTGTCAAAATTGTACAGCTACCCCATGAAATAAAGCCTTTCCTGGTAAATCAACCTTTTTATTAAATTTCCCATTCTGACTTCACCACTTATGGTTTACTCTCAACAACAAATGTAATTTCTAGTTCTTATTCCAACTGAATTTGTGTTAACTTCTCTAGCCCTCGATTCATCGTACATTTATAATTTTTAAAATTAATTCCATCTTTAAATTAAACTAACTCGCTTCTTTACAAAATCTCAGCTTTGTGTGTTTTATTGGAACACTAGAATAGATAATAAAGTATTACTTCCCAACTTCCTCCCTCAGATTATTGCAAATTTTGTGAACAACCCTGGGTGACATTAAAAAATCCAGAAATCTGCCAAATGGTGGAGAATTCTCATCTTTAAAAAGGAGATAAATGTTGAATAACCAATATTTAGAGTTTGTTTATAGACTTGCAAGCACATCTTCAGACAGTTTTTGTAAAGAAGTCAATTTCTTAGATTAAATGTACATATACGCAATATTCATTTTGTTGTAACCAATGTACATTTGTATACCATCTTGTATGTTAATAGTGCTCATGAAATTCCTAATTTTCTTCTTCACATGATTTTAAGTTCATCTATCACAATTTTTATCATCTCCATACCTCACTATGTAATATAATCTGTTCTTTTGTTTCAATATACTTATTGACTTGTGCATGTCACTGTATTACAAATAGCTAAAATATTATCAGCCTATGTTATTTTTAAAAAAGTAGAGTTTTAAATGAAAGTGAAATCTAAATCTTTCTTAAAAATAGCTGAGTTAT